GGAAAGAAGAGACTTGACTCGTTTCGTTCAAGACCGTTACTCGATACCTTCTTACGTTGACTCTACTACATATTTTATATCCATCAATTTTAAGGAACAAATTTTTATGAACATCATGTTCTATTAATTATATTATTTCTCAGTTTTTTAAAAAAAAAAAAAACAATAATTATAAATTTCAAAATATTTTTTTTTGTAATTTTAATTTTTTCGTTCACTAGGCGTGAAGGCGAATGAACCAGGTGACGAAGAAAAAAAAAAAGGGGAAGCGAAGCGCCACTTTAATCAAAAGAAAAAGGTAAGGAAAATAAGCAGGTGTATTCACGGAAACAATTTCAAGCGAGAAAATTCAACATCTCTACAACTTCACTCTTAAGAATATGGAGTAAAAAAAATATAAAAACAAATCAAACAAGTTTAAAAGAAAACTAATAGTATATCCTGTTTTAAATAAATATGAAAAAAAAATAAAAACTATATTAAAAACATTCACCTTCCACGTTACAGGTGTATTCACAGAAATTTTTGGTTCAAAGAACACTTTTGATTCTCACACTAAAGATAATATAACGAATTAAACACAAATAAGTGCACGATAAATGACATAATAAATCACTGCACACACGTAATTAATTAATAATGAATCAATGTGAAATGTAATATGTCAATTAAAATAGAAAAAACAATGTGAAAGAAAAATAAAAAATGAGGTAGTGACAAATTGAGTGTGTAAGAGACGCACGAGTTTTGAGGTTAAGTTGCGGCCACCGCCCCCAACACACAACTGATTGTACAACGTGAGTATTTTCGTATCCAGGCTCATACGGTCGGGAAAATGCTAAAGTCATCCCCACCCCTTATCCTGTGTAAGTTCCCACCCTTCTCTTTCAATCTCTCCCTTTCCCACACATACATGATCACACACACTCCGGTGTACAATCAACCCCTCGAGGGTACCACGATAAAATCGTCACGCTATTTTAATCAGCCCGCAGGAAGCCGCATGTAAATTCAAAGCTCAGAGAGTAAAGCGATTGCGAGAGCAAGAGAGAAAACAAACGAAAATGTGGGGACGTGGATTCGCTTGGATGCCTCCATACGCACTTGTCGCCTCTGTTTTTCTGTCCCCTTTTCCTCCCTTCCTCTCCTCTACCCCGTTATATTCAGTCTCTTTGAGGGGCGTGGAAGCGAATTTATATTTCGTAATTCGTGGGAGTGGGTGCGTGGGTAAAGTGAGGTTAGGACACGCTCGAGTGGCGCGATCGACAATCTAAGAGAGGAGCAAAGGGACAAAATGAGAAGGGGAAATGTCGACAAGCATACAAACCACGTGGTGGACTTGGTAAGAGGTCAGGGGGGAATAGGAATGAAACAAAAAAATCTAACAAATTACTTGTGGTGTCGTAAGGATAAGAAAAAATGTCTTAATACGTGAGTAGGTTTTGTCGTATCACTTTTGTCTCATTGGCGTACATATCTCCATATGTGTATATATATATATATATATATATATATATAAAGTTGATGTACTTTAAACACGTGGATAAAACAAATGGAAAATATTTGTCGAAACCGTTAGAATTCCTGTCTGAAAGTAGGTTGATTTACTTCTTTTCTGAGTCGTTCACAGTCACGAGTTTTCACTCATTGATAATAAAAACCTAGTTTCCCGATAACGGATGGAAAATTACTACTGGTGGTAAAATAAGTACAGTAGTAATAATTATTATTGAGCCCTGTACGAAGTTCAAAATGAGCACGTGGCAGTCGGGTTATGTTATTATATATTCCGGGAGAATAGAGTGTTTGCAGTAAGAAATGACTATCAACGACATTATACATCCAAGTTAAATATACATATTATATTACATACTGTAGAGTATAGAAAGGGAATGATGATTTTGAGATTGCCGAGAGTCAACTCACCTGTTACGAAGTTGACGCGCAGTCACTTGGTTTGCGTACCTGAACGTATGAGGGACACACACTCACACAAGTTAATAAGTTAACACACAAACACAAATCGTGTCGTGAATTGAACAAGCCGCGTGGAGCACAGCAAACACGCACCCGCACGACACGGGGAAAAAAGTCGAACTGAAGGGGAGCAAGGAGTTGTCGGTGAATGGATACGGGGAGGAGGGATGCGCAGTGAGGGAGCAAGAGGGAGGGAGAGACGTCTGGAGGGAGGATGGACGGCGAACGGACTGAGTTGTCGAGCCAAGCGCTTAACTCAGCACACCCCGGGTCTTGGGGCGTAGTATCGGCGCCTATGGCTACAGATAAAGAGAAGGGGCCGACGTGGAGGGAGAAACTCAAGATATTTATGCAACCCTCTCAGCTAAAAATCCACGTACAACACACGCCGATAAGCCACATTATACTAATCCAATTCTTCGTTGATGAATATACATTTTTTATTTCCCCTGTAAAACATGTATATTATGTTCATTTTATATAGATGTAATACTTGAGATTAATATAACCCTTTGGGATCAAGAGATTACTACGATGAGCGCACACGTGTAAGCATTGAAGTCAACAAAACCACGTGAAAAATTATATCTGAATGATATTTTAATACTCCAATAAATGTATAAAATTACATATGGGGAAATAGTATAAAGGGGAACAAAATACGGAAACACATATGAGTCAAGAGAGAGAGAGTGAGAGAGAGCGAAAGAGAGAAGAGGCACCCGCGATTATTTTCAACCGAACGCTCCTCACCACTGCACAAACACATGCATCCATTACACACCCACAGACGCTCCTTGCTATCTTTCTCTTTTGCTCACGCATACTTGCTTAGGATATCACTTTCTCATTCCTTCACGCCCTCGTTCCTCGCGCCATCCCTATACATATACCCGGCTTTTCATTTCTCTTCTTTACTTACTCTTTGCTTCGCGCTCTCTTTTTTCCTCTAGCACTTCGGGTAATATCGATTCCGTGGTATGGAGCGCGGGGTAGCGCGCCCGATGGCAACGACCCTACACGGCCCGCACCGTGACACCGATGTCCAGAGAGCGCACGAGAATTTCTACTAGTCAGTATCCGTTTCATGATAAAACCAATCACGAAGTCATTGATAAATATAACAATAAATTCATTAATTACCAGGAAAATTTCCCGAGGGTATTTAATTTCATCAACAAATAATTAACCAATAACAAATGATCAGCCCTGAATTAACGTTATATACTGTTCGTCATCAACATTTACATGGATAAATGTACATGTCGTACATATTCACTCACACAAATATACACTGCCACCACCACTAACACCACCTTCTTCTCCTCCTCCTTGTTGAACGTCGCGCCGTGGTGCTGCTCCACCCCATATCCTTCTCACGTTCACGTTTTCGCTGATTTTCCCGAGTCGCGAATTATATTAAAATTAATTGGCACGCGAAAATCACCACAAAATCTCACTGTTGACACTTACCTTGGCATCTTATCCAGTGTTACGTTGTTGAACCCACGGTAGGGTTGGTGGACAGAGCCTGACTCTCGACGGGGACGTACGACTTTGCCAGTACGGAGCGCTAGGACGCCATGTCAGCAAGTCGAGACAGACTTCGGGGCAGACTCGGGCTACCTCGGCTGTTTAGAATTCATGATGCGCCACCACACGGCACCGACGGAATCTCGTCTACGCCCGTTCCTTTACACAGTTGTTATTTCGTTCAGCTCTACGTTCACCGCTTCTACGGTGAGCCAGCAACCATTCGTTCGCGCGCCCTCGTTCAACCGAACCACCGTCCGTCAGGGCACGTGATTCTGACAAAGACAAATAGATATCAATGACGAAGACAACACCACCGCCCCCTGAATTTCTCTTACTCCCTCTTGTTTTCCTCACCAACAAGATAGAAGAAGACAAAAGTCGAATGAGGAGCACCCCTGTTACTTGGTCTCACTCTCTCTCTCTCTCTTTTTCTCTCTTTCTTCTTCAACTCCTGACTCTACTTGCCCCTTCGATATGCTCTAGGGACGATCTTTCTCTTCAGGTTTCTGCGTGAATCTCACAACAGGGTTCTTTCTTTTTATTTATTTATTTTTTTTTCATTCTCCTGCAGACGTTCTTGCACGTGAAACCTCACCCTCGATCGCCCTCGAGACTAACCAACCATTTATTTTCGCTTCTTTGTTCTTCGCGGGATTCTAACAATTCTCTATTTTCTCCTCCCTCTTCTTCTTGAATCCTTTCTCGGCTTCGTTTTCTCCCTCCGGCGTCGAGCTTACCCTTCTCCTCACTCCCTCACGCCATCATACTTTACTTCTTCACATGTATAGTTCCCCCTCGCAACCACGACTTCCCTCCTATTCCTCAAGCGCCGTCGCCAACTCCCTTTGTATTGTAAGCGTCTTTTGCCCTCGATCTCACCAAACCGATCGCTCTGCATCGATCTGGATTATAATCTTAACTTTACAAGGGTTGCTAAGTCAATACAAATATACCTTTCTTTTGTTTTACATATAATAATATTCATGTTCTCTATATAAGATAGTTACGATGTGTTATGAAAAACAAAAAAAAACTCCAATAAAAAAAACTTGATTGATTTTGAGAAAAAAAGGAAAATCTATTGCGTCAGAAGTGTTATTAAAAATAAAATCATTCAAGGGAAATCCCGGTTTCAAAAGTGAGGACATGATTATGTTGATCACTTGGAAGAAGTAGTGAGAAGGGGCGAGAGGGCCAACGCGCAAAGTTCACTTTGAAAGAATGAGTAGGCGATGTTGAGTGGAGAGAGGTATGAGACGTAAGGAAAACTAGAATGATCTCATCCCTCAACATTCTTTCCATCAGGTTGTTTAAAGGAATAGAACCAAAAGGGATGAGGAAAAGAGAGAATGTAACCATCAAGGGCAGTGAGAACGATCGCGTGGTTTCAATTTTATATACATACACATCTCTGAATCCAACTGTGCATGTTTTTTTACTTATTTATTTATAAAAAATCATGTATGTATTAAATCAAAACGACTTACCAGTGCAGTAATCCTTGATCCTACTGTTGATATGTGTCAGAGCAAGGACAATCTACTGCTATTACACCTTGTATACTTCTATTTTTATTTATTTATTCTTCAACATTTTTCCATCAGTATTCTCATCAGATTTTCTTCCTCCCTCTGTCTGTATCAGTTAACGTTGTTGCCTCCACTCCCTGATTCTCTAATCCTTGTCCGCTTTATTCGCGCGCTGCAAACACGACTAGACTGTTTCCACCTTGACACGTTTACCCCGGCATGCGCATAGTTGTGCGTTCAACGCTTTGGTGTACCATGACAGTCCATTATTATTTACCAGTGTGTAGCCTTTTATGTTGAATATCATAAAATCTGATGTGACAAAGAAATAACAAAAAAAAAAAATAATCATAATCATAAAAAAAACAAATAATTACATGAGAAAATAATAATAAGTAATAATAGTGTTAATATAAATACAAACATTAAATAACTCTATGCAGACATATCCATGTTTAAACATATAAATTTGTTCAGCAACTGAATTGGCGCGCGTGCAAATTTCAAAAAGCCCGCGAAGCAGAACAAGTTCAAATAAACCAGCTTGAGTATGGCTTGACAACACAAAGTTGACTGTAAAGAAAATGGAGGGTGCAAAAGTTAAGAAAAAGGATCCAACGAAACTTTTCGGTCGACTGATAAAAAGCCTGGAGGCTGGCTACGACGAACGGACGAGCTGGAGACAAAAAAAAAGCGTTTGGAAGGGGAAGTAAAGAGAGAAAGATTAAACGAACAAGTGAGAAAGGAATAGAGCAGGGCGAGGACGACGACGGTATACGGGGAAGCCGCGAGCGTTGTGGCCCCTGAGGGGAGATAAGGGGGAATCTGGTGGCGAGTTCAGGGGAAGAAGTGCGCGGAGGTAGAGCGGACGGACGTGCCAGAGCAGTACGGGAGGGGCGCGTGATGTGGGTCGGGGTAAAGGGGAGAGCTGAGAGAGCCGATGATTTGACTCCTCTGGCTGCGCCGCTCTGTTCTGCCTGCTCTAGTGTCCTTGGTTTCGCTCTAGCAAGACTCGAGAGCGCTAGTTCTAACCACGGAACACACAACTTGGACTCTCGCGTGCACGCGCCCACGGATCTCCAGTACTGCATCACAGACACTTCCTCTCTCATGTTCTTCTTCATCTTTGCACCAACCAATACTACATAACCCTGATGAAAATTAAGTCGTCAGTTCACTCATCTTAAAACCAGCTAACAGCTTGCAGTAGTATTAGCATTCAAGTAGTAAAGATGCTGGAGTCTCTGGCAACTGTTGCCCCGTGTCTGAGTGTAGTCCTATAGAACGTTTTAAATCTGCTGTAACTACTGAAATTCACCAACTAATGTATATACAATAGGTATTCGAGTACATTTTAGTGGAAAAAGACTCGAGTCAGACATCAAAGTAAAGAGCTTATGCACGAAACAATAGCTCTTTGAATATTCAAATTCAGGGTGTGCATTACAGTTTCTTGTGTGACCCCTGTACTGATGGCTATGTTTTTTGTAATATCACGAAAAAAGGGTTGCATTACAGAAGTTCATGGAAATATAACATAGTTCAAGGAAGTGATAGAATAAAAGGAATAAGAGTAGTGGAATTGAAGTAATGGCTTCGCGCGTGTGGCCAGGGTGTCGTTGCGCTAGAAAATCAAAGAAGCACCGTATAAGAGAGAAGAGTACTGATGGGGGGAGGAGAGAGTCTGGTAAGAACAGGGCAAGGGACTGTTGAGAAGTACTACACGTGTCGCATTTCAGCGGGGTGTTGATCCCAAATAGCTTTTTCGACGTGACGTAATCCACATGAAAGGGTTGAGAAAGAGCCGGCCAATGAGGATACAGACAATAAAGCTAGAGCCCTTCTTTCCTCCTTGACTACTTTTTTATCATCTTCTTTCTCATCATTTTCGTCATCGCCATCATCATTGTCGTCATCTCTTAGACTTTTATTCTTTTTTTTTTTTTTTCTTTATATTCTTACCACGACTTCTTTTGGTTTTCTGATGTGTTTATACTCATGCAGGTCTGACTACCCGTTATGTGCACAGCACAACGATCCTTTCATTCGTCTCAAAACCCACTTGCGAGTATGCCGATATATACACTCGCAAACTCAACGATGCGCTGCTCGCATTCATTGTGTACACACGTGGCTCAACTCTTGATCATTTACTGCAGTAACTCGTCGTCTTTGCAGTTCATTCCTGTTGTGTTGACTTTTTCGTAGGTGGCAAGTAAGTTTCTGCTGACTAACGGTCAGCCAGTCAAGCAATAAGAGTACCTAGAGAAAATAGGAAAAGATCAACTATAGTAATAGTTTCTTTTTTTATCATTTTTTTACTTACTAGATTTCTTCCTTTCTTGGAGCGTTGCGCACGATTGCTTTAGCTAGGTTAAATTATTTCATTGAGACGTAGAATTCTCACTTGCGAGACGTATCAATTGCTTATATTGTTACAGTAGTTGTTGGGGGATGAGCATCAAGGAGCAGGTTGCAAGCGCGGAAGGCGGAAAGAAGCTGATTACCGGACACGGACAGCGATTGCAAGATAAGATCAACACAGAAGTCGTCGATCTCTTCTTATGGTGTGTCTTCCTTCTTTTAACTTATGATGTCAGGTATAATCTAATCTTTTGAGCTCAATGCAACTGACGTTTCTCTTTCTACCGTAAGTTTTCAAAGTCTTACAAGTACAGTACAGAAACTTTCTATGCGTGTATACGTACTCTGACATTATGAAGATTAGAAAAAAAAAGATAGAAAGAGAAAGAAAGATAGAAAAAAAGGGAGAGTAAATATAAACGCCCACTTGAAGACTTCACGCATTGCAACATCATCTACTGATGCCACACGATAACACTAGCCTGATATTCCAGTTATCTTCATATAATAATGATGTCCTTGTTTACTTTCTTGAGGGATATAAATTATTATCCTAATACAATCATTATTTATCTTCTTCATAATTATTTCTTTCTTCTGATATAAAACTTATATAGTTATTATTACTATTGCCATCTTTTTAAAGAACTTCTCTGTACGCTAAAGAGGACAATTGGAAGATTACTTGACTCGTGCGACTGCCACGCGTGCAATTTGCATATCCATTTGCATGCCCGTCGTCCCTCGAATCTTGTCCGGTCAGGTATCACTGAGACAAATGGACCACGTGCCTACATAGATTTTTATTTTAGAAATTGTGATACAATAAATTATCAATACTACAAAGGTATTTGTTTAATCTATACAAACTTACCTAAAAAAAGAAATAAGATATCTTATCAGTTATTTTATACTTTGTCACTTATTTAATGGTAATGTCAACGATCCTATTTCGTGACTATTTGCTTCTACAGTTGACCTTGTCACTTTTCCCTTCTGATCCTGCTAAAAAAGGGTCCTCTACTATGTAGACCTTAGCAAACATTTATAGAACCACAGAGCAAGAGATAATCGTGAGAAGAGGACAGATATTTCCCCTTTGGTGAGAAAACTTCACTCCTCTATACTTCAAATTGCTCTTTACTTTGTAACTATCATCTCAGTCTCTGATGTTCAAGATCTTCATTTTATGATGTTCAACCATCATGGCAAGAATACAGACTTCCTGGAAATTGTTAAGTCTATGGCGTAGATAAAAATGCCCATTAAACATAAATCTACTGGTAATTTTTGGCTTTTAATAAATCCTCCACGTGTGTTCGTTGTCTCTCATCTGCAAAAGTACAAAAAATAAAATTAAATTCTTGAGCGACAGTTGAAGAGATTCTCTCTAAATGTTTACACTTTTAACGAGAAAGAATGGTAATGGAGTAGACGAAGGTATTTTTTTTTTCTTTTAATACAAAAGAGAAGAGAATAAGTGAAACAAAAAAATTAAAATAAAAAAAGAGTTGGACAAAAAGAAGAGATTTGGTGGCAGGATAAAAAGAGTCCATGGTCGTATATGACCAGCCGCGTATAACGGCGTGCATACCATACTTAAACGTTAGGAAGGGGGTTGACTCTTGAGGGACATTGCTCCCTGACTCTCACTCGTCAACGTGCCACGTACTCCGGAAAACATATTTCCCATCATGCAATTTTCTCCCTGGATAAAAATAGTCTAGTCTACTTGATAATAAATAAATATGGAAAAAAAAAAATGATCTCCTAAGATATAATAGTCTTTTTCTTTATACAGAAAAATAACTTTGAAATTTGAATGATAAAAACAAGCTAACAATACTCCTACACTTGTATCATTGAATATAAAAAAACATATCCCAACAGGTGTCATTTTATCATCTACTTAAAATACGACAAAAGAATAAATCCATCCCTTAATTTTTTTTATATACATCTTTTCTTTGTACAAAACTTTAGTCTCCCTCTACGACAATTTTTTCCCTCCATGATAAATTCCTTTCTAATCTCGTCTTTCTCCCTCGACGTTCTTCAGTTTTTTTTTTGTCGTCTTTTTTTAGCCTTCTAGAAGCACACACCAGGGGAGAGTCTTCCCTTTCTATCTCATCTTTTTTCAGCCATCTCTTCGTCGAGTCATTCGCACCCCCAGAAAGGCTAACTCCAGCCGTTTCTAACCTAAGCTGGCACGTCGTGGTCTACCCTCATGCAGACGCTCTAACTCATCCCCACAACCCCTAGAAAGTGCTGTCAACGTAGAGACATAGACTCCTTTTTCCCTCTATAGTCTACGTATATTCTACATAAGTGTAATCACTTGTGTGTATATATAGACCGGGAGGTTATAGACGTAGTGTTTTTTGTATGCGTACATACGACATTTTCCATTACTGACACAGCGCACCACCGTCGACACATCCCTCTCCTCGAGGGGTCGTTGATCCCCCAAGGACAACGACCTTGCGTCTGCGGCACAGCCAACCGTTCGAACGGTTCTGGGTTCCCGGATTCCACCATTACCAATTGCCGTCTCTTTTCCACCGACACCTCTGTCTTTCCCTTTTCTCGCACCTCTCACCGTTCCTTACTTTTTATTTATTTTTTTTTTTTAATGATCCTGAGCTGCTCGGAACTATCTCACCGCCTCGCTGACTCCTTTTTCTCCAGACTTCCAAGCTCTATCTTTTATCTCGACGTTGAAGAGCCTGAAAAAAATATCAAGCTACAATGAATATTGTCTTTTCTCTTTTAGAGTATATTAAAAGTTATAAAGTGCGAAAACTTTTGTTCATGATAATAATAATAAAAAAAAAGGGTTATAATTTATGAATATAATGATTATCAGAATCTTAAAAATCATTTTAAAAAACTATGAAATATTCATGTAAAAGCTGCTATCGATATGCAAGACACGACCCCGACCCACATGCCCTCGTCGTCTGGCGCTTTCTCTCCCTTCGCTTTCCCCTACACTACTCTTTTTTATTTTTCTTCAACTTAACATATTTGCCTTATTCTTTACTGATTTAACCACCAGAATTGTACGCTTCATGAATTTATACAATAGTCGTTCAATGAATGAGAGGGGGACAAGATCTTGGGAAAATTTCTTTACAGGTTTTGTGTCCCTTCTAATCGTACTACTATAGACGTTAAAATACCTTTCAATTCATCTTTTGTGATACACCTGTTTATTAGTACCTTTTAACATAGCATCACTTTTCCCATTACAAAAGGTAGGTCGTTAAACCGTTAAATCGTCCTAAATATCCTCTTTTCCTTACAGAAACATCTCTAATACCGTAAGATTTTTTGAATACATTAGGAACATAAAATAATGAGTATCTAGCTGTTAAAACATATTATATATTTATATAGAGACGTATAATATTTTTTTAACTTTTCCTTCTTGGCTAATAAATGTCAAAAAGTCTTAGACAGCAACCTGTTTGTAAATAATATGAAACAGGCGCTTTTCCACGGGTGGGTAGTCTACTATGAGCATGTACATGGTAAGTCTGGCCTTATAATGCACATTGCGCGAAACCACCACACACATAAATATATATTCCAACATCAATACATTTGTACATACAAGCCTATGTAACACGGTGGAAACTAAAGTAGCGCTCGTAAAATGCGCGCATATCGCAAGCCAACCGCGTCTAGGTCTAGCATGCAGTGAGTAAATAACGCACCCGCGAGGGGACTACACACATAAGTGTAATCGTCTACACGCATGTTAAATACAGAATGACGCAATCATTTGAAGGGAAGGAATAACGTTGACCTACTAAATAAATTCATTCTGTTACTTCGTCGTTCGCCTTGCACACTGTCTTCTTCAATTATCGTGAGAAAAATTGACTCCGTAAAGAATACCAAGCTATTTTCCTACTGACCTAAAATAAAATTTTAAAAAAAGTAACGTTATTTATTTTTTGTTAATATCTTTCTTTTTTTTTTTTATTATACTTACATTATACTAGTTTGTTCGATTACATTGAGCAAAAAAAAGTAAAATCCTTGCTACTGTTACGTCAATTTCTTTACCGTAATCATTTTTTTATGACCACAAAATTTTTCCCAGTAGGGTTTGTTAAACACCGACAAAGAGAAATAACAGGTACATATACACTTTTTAGATTTACCCTATATAAGAAACACCATCGTCACGGCGTGGTGACTTCTGACGCGTGAATACGCCCTTTGTTCGTGATTCCAGACTGGTTTTTACTCACTCCATTCTACTGTAGTGGCCCTTAATCTTTCTCACTCAGTCTCCCTTGTGCACTGAAAGCACCTAAACACAGTAGGCGTGCAGGTATATAACTCTGTAACAGGTAAAGAAGGCCATTTCGATTTTGATTCGATTGTCAAGGGGCTCCTGAGACGGTTGAACAGGTACCTGAGACGTTATTTCTTCCCTCGAGGATCTATATAAGTCTGGTTCATAGAGGGTTAGTTGCAACATTTTTTACATCGTTAACATTGCGTGTGGCTTCTCTTCAGATTCACTCCCTCCTTTCCTCAAAAACACCTCCCGCTGTGGCTCAACATATATAGCGAGACGGGAGGGTTGCAACAGGTTGCTTCATTGCTTCGACGCCAGCCACGCATCGACGGTCCCCCAAATTACTGTTCGTAGTCGCCCCAAGGCCAGGGGACGATTGCCCTTCACTGCCCGCTGATCCTTCCCCTTTTTTCTTCATCATTCCTTTGCTCCCTTCGCTCGTGACTACTATCGTAAAGATGCAGTTACAGACAACAAAACGTGATCAAAGATGCAACAAACCCGCTGGCAATCTCCAATTTTCCTTTACAGCTCCCTTCTTACTATACAACTATAATACTTCTTTTTTCTTCTTATTTAATTCTCATTTTCAACGCTAATAACTACACCATCAATGTACCACTATAGTTGCTGATAATAATTAAATAAGGGCGGATAGCGGACTTTTAGTTAGCTTTGTTACTTTATCACATCCCCCATTAAATAATCACCCTCATCTTTGCACAATGAACCGTACATACATGGGGGTCCGATCAATGCTTATATAACTATCATCGTTTGCTACATAGTCTTTCTCTTTTTCTAGTCTATACACTCCTTGTGCACAACAACCTCTTAGCTTATTCTCGTCAGGCCAATTTTGTCCAACATCAAGAATCTCTCCTTGTAGCAGAAAAAAGAAAGATTGTTTTATGTAAAGCGCAATGAGGTCTACCCCAGGAATTCCTTACATAGCTCAAGGCTCCACCCTAAGATAAACAAAAAGACAAGAAAATTTCTCTCTTTTTCCCAGCGGTAAGCCTACTAAGTACTAGAGATTGTACATATATACATCTACATATATATATATAAATATAAAATAGTCTCGACGAAAACCTCGCCGTCGTCGTTGCGGTCGTGGATGTATAGTCTGACGTAATGTGGTGTGGGAGCGGCGCAACTCTTAGGGTCAACGGCCCCCACGTCGTCACGACTATTGTTCTTCATCAACCCCAGTCCGTCAGTACTCAACGGGAGTAACATTCTCACTGACAATGGGGTTTCTATTTGAATTTCTCCACGGATTTCAGTTAATTGGCTTCCGTTCCACTTCGTCAAGCTTCATTCATTCCATGATTGTACATTTTTTACTATTATACTTAACTGTGCAACCTGAAAATTAAACAAGTTGAATGATTTTACATGATCATCGTAGGGATTGATTTTTATATGGTTTTTATCATTTCTTGTGTAATACTTGTACATTACTTATGCATTATACCTTTATATGTTAAACTAGCAGAAGTATATTCTCCTTTAGTGTAGGTGGAGAAGAGCGAGGGTGGCTTTCCAAACATACTTGATACAGTAATATATTATGGTATTTCACTCTTAGAGTTGCGTATGCCACTCCGTAGGCGTTAGGATTTCGTAAACTTGGATGGAATATAAATTCCTGTTCATCCTACAGTAATAAAAAAAAATAAAACGGTTATTTTTATTCCATGTATTAGTGCTTGAAAAATAGGTCAAATTATTTTTACGATCCTCTTTTGAAATTTTTAACCTTTAAGCTTAAATGTAGAATTGACGTTTTATCAGTATTTTAAATCTCATCCTGAACATTTTATTATTATTTCTCGTCAGAATTTCTAACAAGTAGTACCTTATCATCATCACAGTCAAAGAGAATCAAAGCGTTGTTGATGAGAAGTTAAAGCTGGAGGGAATTTGTAAGATGAAGAAGAAGAGGAATAATAATAGTGAGGGCGTCGATGCATCAATCGAATTGTTGAATCACGAAATAAGTCTCCAGAAGAATTTTGCTGGGGCACCTTCAAGGAGTTAAGGCTTGTCGTTACCGTTAAGCTGACTTCCGCCTATACCCACCTACCTACCTACCTACCTACTTTCATCCTTAAACATCTTCACCAACTTGAGGAGTAGCGCATCAGGAAACATTTACAACTGTCCAATTCTATTTAACAATAATCCCAAAATCTGTTGTTTCAAATGATACCCAAACAATGGTTATACCCAAGATCATTATAATTGTATACCATCTAATCATCCTTAGCATCATTTGTCATCTTTTCTCTTTCAATCAGTGAAGGATCTAAAATAAACAAAAGTCATTAGTCTGGCTGGTATCATACTGAAACCTATAACATAAGCAAATAAATCATAGTCCTAGAAATGGTATGAATAAGAGAAAGGATGCTAGTAAACTATAGAGTGCATAGAGAGTGTGAATGTCTTGACTTTAATATTCTAAACGCAATACATGAAGGATGTATTTCCTGTAGATAGTTCGACACCCTTTTAGGTACTATGATCATCAGAAGGGGAACTCACCGCAGTGGCGTAAAGTGGGTTGACTCGGGAGACTCGTCTTCTCTTAGCTGTGTGCTCCGACACATACCCCTGCTCGTTCAACGACCCCACGCGTATACGCACGCATGTAAGCACGTGATGGAGAGTCAAGTAAGCAAGATAAAAGACGTAAGACTGAGACATAAAGTCGAGACTAAAGAAGACAGAAAAGAAATGTCTGAAACCCAGAAATGAGGACTTGGGTTAATTTTTATTATATTCATCTCTTCCAGCTTTTTTATACTACTATTGTATATATCTTTTAAATTATTACATACTTACAATCTACATTCACTCTGTTTCATCCCATATGTATAAATGTTGGATGTCCTCTAAACAACACCTGTGTCCAATGCTATTTGTATTTATTAATGCACCTGTATTTAAATTGTTCTGCCTACAAACAAAAAAATTATCATAAAAAATACTTCAAGGTATATACTTTCAGCTCCCATAATAACATTTTTCATCGATTTCTGATAGTATCATATTACTTTTGATATGAATAAAGAATCAGTTGTTGAGTTCTTGCCTCTTATCTATACCACGCAGTTTTCGACATCGATTTGTTTTATTTAAGTAACCGTCATATTAAATATGGACTGCAATCAATTTCACCCCAAGTATAAAAATACGTTAAACAACACTAGAAGATCCCTTGTAAGACAGGAAATGAAGTTGAATATCTTCCGGAAATCGTGACTTCCGCTAACTTCGCCCTTCTTTAAAGACTAATTCTTTCCCCTTGGCTGTTTAAATTTTATTCTAGCCCTGAGGAAAATTCTTTCTACCCTCACCTTATTGAAGAGGATATAAATTACCATTAATATATATTTAAAGCATGAGGACTCTTCAGTCGTTCTCAATTCGCCATCAGTCGTCGGGTAAAAAATGTGATGCTCATTGACTGAGACGCGCCCTATTCGAGTGACCCGCCACAAGCGATGTTCACTTGGCTAGAAAAGAGAAAGAAAGCAGTAATGAGAGACAGAGGTCGAACGGACGCTTGTGAGAAGAGGGGAAAAGTCGCCATGGATAAAGGAGGGAGAGATAGGGAGAGGCCTTGGGAGGGAGTAGAGTCGTGAGCTCCTTACAGTGCATTGCCTTTACCATCCTCTTCTTGTCCCCGTCACACCCCGTGCCCTCGGACAAATCGTGGATATGACGCGCTGGCTCTCTCGCGAGCACATCCGAGGATTCACCAAAGCAGCTTGCTACATATACCCACTCACTCATTTATCCACACTTTTCGTGCATGGAATATTCTGTTTTCTTGGGGAAGTTGTCATGCTTAATTGTAGTGGGACTTGAATGCACCCCGGGCCAATGTCGACACGAACCAACGTACTCCTTTCCATGAGCGGTGAAAGTCCAAGTCAAGACTTCAGGGTAACGGTATTATCCTCATTGCTCGACTCGTTTCTCTCTTGCCCTTAAGTTTGTTGGGAAAAAAAAACTTTTTATATTCTTAATATGCTTCTTCATTAGTGACTATTTGATAAAAATAGCCTGAAACTATTTGACTATCCTCTATCTCTATATCACATAAATACCATTATATGAACTTCAATGAATGATAAGCTAAAACAAAATTAAACAAAAAATTACTGTTACATTCGAGACTTACATTATTTACTGCTTTTTTTGTTTTAATTACTGTTCGGCATCTTCTAAATCTGTCATCGTTTCATGTATACTTTATAATGCATCAGTGCAGCCAAACTTTTTATATTTAAGGTTCAAACAAGCCAAAGCTATACAGGCTTTTTCCGCTCCTTATTTGTAAGTTTTTACGACCCTTGCTTTGAGTAGAATCCCTGAAAGAGGTCTTTCAGTTAAAAATTCCTCAGCGAATCCCTGTGGCTCTTTCTCGACCCCATTAAAGTCTATCATTAATGAACGCTCGTTGAAGTAACGATGGTTTCTTACCAAAGATAATAATCTGAAACTTTTCTTTCTCCATTATGTTTATTGTACCGAATATTATTAAATCATTATCTTCGATAAACTCACATGTCATTAATATTATCATTCAAAAATGCTTAGATGCCATTAAAGTTCACTAATAAAAAATATGCTTCAGATAAAAATTTTCGAATATAAACGCAGTTGTTGACGCTTTGTTATCCGCCATCTTGTAGTTGTGAAGTGAACTTCTGGCTACTATTTTTAACGAGTCCCGACATCTATTCTCCATATTGATAACTAACTGTAGTAACTGAAATTTTTGGAAACGTGTAAATAATCGTAAACAAAATATTCCTGACTTTCTTATTCATTTTTAGGTTATTATTGGTTTAGATTTTTTGTTACAAATCATATTTTTGTTTTATATTAGAGATCATTAAAGTTTTACACAATTTTTAAATACAGTTGCATGTTGTGATTAATTTTTATTCATTTTAAAATAATAATAATAACAATCATAAATACTAAAGATTATCTGTTGATAAAAATTTAGCAATCCTACCTCGACTGAGCAAATCGGAGGAAAAACAAGTTGGATTATACAGCAAATCACAATCTTACCGGAAGAGTTTATAGTTTATGGTCGTGATTAATTTGTTGGAAGTTATCTTGAGCAATTATATATTGTGTATTCGCTTTTTCGGCGCAAAGTTCGGATATTAGTGACGTTGACGAAACGTAGTTAGAGAAGATAGTGTAATGAATTGGTTATGTAGAAGAAACTAAGCTTAGGAGATTGAAAAGAAGAAATTCAATGAAATGGAGAGATCAAAAGTATTATTAGGAACTACCTTATGGTTTTTAATCCATTTTTTGGTTCATTTGGAACCACACAATACCGGTGTGTTTGGTTATGAAGTAACACATAAGGAGTATGTGAATTCTTTAAATAATGAGCAGGAGTTGGATAATTTTATCTTGAGAAGAACGAAGCGAAAGTCAATTGATACAGGCATGGAGCCACATACTTTTTTTGTTGATCCTAAATGTCGTGATGATCTTCGTCGATTATGTGGCGCTATGGACAATAATGATGACGATTTATTTATGTTAGAGTGTGTGCAAACATTCAAGGTAAATAATAATAAAAAATAAGATTCCATATGAAAATTTTTTTTCTTCATATTTATACAATTTCTTTAATGATAATTACTGATATTAATGGTTATTTTTTTTAGCCCAATGAAGTTTCTGCATTAGAAGATCGTTGTCAGCATTCGATCTGGACACAAATCACTAATTTAACCAAGAATGAAAACATTGAAAGGTTCATTAAAAAAGCTTGTGGTGACGGTATTGATGATCTTCAATGTTCTGCAGCAGAAAAAGAACCTGGTAGTTATTTAGCTTGTTTAATTGAAAAACGAGAAAATGTGAAGGATCAACAATGTTCAGAATATATACAGAGATTAGAGTGGATTGCTTTTAGTGATTTTAAAATCATTACTCCAATGGTGAATGATTGTCGGATGGATATTGATAAGTATCAATGTGGTAGAATACAACAAAACCAAGATATATCTCAAGGGCATATGTTAGCATGTCTTCAAGGTCATATTGAAGAGCTAAATTCCAAGTGTAGAAGAATTATTTTTAAGATATCTGAAAATCAAGCTGATAATATCAAGTTAGATCATCAATTATATATGGCTTGTATTCAAGATCATCTAAGATTTTGTTCAAGCATTCGTCCAGGACGTGGAAATGTATATAAATGTCTTATACAGCATCGGACAGATCGTGAAATGTCAAGACAATGTCAAGATCAATTAACGAGACGAGAGAAACTTATTGCTTCTGATTATAGAGTAAGTCGAGGTTTGGTTAGATCATGCAAAGATGACATTAAAAACTACCACTGTCGAAGACTTGTTTCTGATGATAAAGAAATTAGACTAGCCCAGATATTACTTTGTCTTGAGTCTGTGATGAAGAATGGCAGCAAAATTGATCCCGATTGTCAAAGAGAAATGTTTGATCATCGAAAAATGCTAATGGAAGATTATAGACTGTCTCCAGAAGTTGTAGATGATTGTTCAAAAGATATTTCTAAGTTATGCAATGGACTTGAAGCTGATGGACATACGATTCATTGTTTAATGGAACACGCAAAACCGAGAAAACGAAAAGCAAGAATTTCTACAGAGTGCCAAAGAGCTTTAGAATCTTTAGTTAAAAAAACGGATGCAGGTGAAGATTGGAGAGTTGATCCAATCCTTCGTGAAGCTTGTCAACCAGTTGTTGATTCGTCTTGTCGTGGTATTCGCGGAGGAAATGCCAGAGTTATTTATTGTCTTATGGAAAAAATTGGGACTGATAGAATGCTTGAAGCATGTGAAAATGCACTAATTCAAATACAATATTTTGTTGCAAGAGATTATAAACTTGATCCGCAATTATATAAAGCTTGTAAAGCTGATGCAGTTCAATTTTGTCATGCTAAGAGTGCTTGGGCTGACGATGGAAGTCAAATGGATCCTGAAAGAGGTCCTTTGGTATTACCATGTCTTTATAGATACGCTGATCATCCACAGAAAAATATTTCTTTAAGATCTGAATGTTTGGAAGAAATTCGAAGGATAATGAGACAAAGGGCTATAAGTGTAGATCTTCAACCCGAGATTGAAGAAGTATGTTTAAATGATCTAGCAACATATTGCTACGATAAAACAGCTAAGGGAGAAGAAATACTTTGTCTTCAAGATAATTTGGACAAGTTGAAAGAAAAATGTAAATCAGCTGTTAGTAATCTAACAGAAGACCAAGCAGAAAGAGTAGAGTTAAATCCTGTTATCATGTCAGCTTGTCAAAGAGTAATGGAAAAACATTGTGAAGATGTATTGAAATTCGGTAAAGACGAAGGTGATATGATGGAGTGTTTGATTGAACATAAAAGTGAATTAGATCGTTTTGATTACAAATGCAAAGCAGCTATTGAACATTTTCAACTTATCTCACTTCAAAATTATCATTTCACTTACAAATTTATGAAAGCATGTAAACCTCATGTTGATCATTGGTGTCATACAGCCACTACCACAGCCGAAGTTATTAAATGTCTTAGTTCTATTGTTCAAGAAGATATTATGAATGACAATCAGCACAGAGTGCTAAAAGACTGCCGAGCACAATTGAGAGCACAACTTTATCAACAACGAGAAAATATACATTTTGATGTTGCTCTTCAAGAGGCTTGTACTTTAGATATTCAAAAATTCTGTAATGGAGTTGATCCTGGAAATGCTCAGGTACTTATTAATTTTTTTTATTTACTACTATCATTTCATACTTTTTTTTTTTATAGGTTTTAGAATGTTTAGTTGCGAAAAAATCCAAATTATCAGATACATGTCATAAGCAGTTATTCAAAGTGAGACAACAAGACTTTCAAGATAGTTCTAGTGATTTCTTGTTGCTAAATACTTGCCGCTCAATGATTGGACAATTCTGCCATGATGATATTGATAAATCTAAAGCACTAGAGTGTTTGAAAAAATGGAAGGATGAACCAGCATTCGATGATAAGTGTAAGAATGTCGTATTGAAACGGATGATTGAACAAAATACGGATTATAGATTTAATGTAGCCTTGCAAGCAGCTTGCTCTCGAGATATCAATAGCCATTGCAAGGAAGTAAGTTAAAATACTTGATGATAAGATTTTTTTTTTATTACCGATACTGATGTATTTTTAAACTTATGACGTTGATAGCTATAAAAAATTATTATTTTATCACGTCAATTCCTTCTTAAAATCGATTAAGAAACTATTTTTGCAAAAGTTTTACAAAGAGTATTTTTTTTCTTATACCTCGGTTCAAACTTACTTCAAAGTTTGCTTACTGTTCTCAGGTTCCAAAGTGACGTATTCTATCCCGCATAAAAAGACAAAAAATTATTGATGCGCAAGCCCAGACAGGTGTTGTCTTTCTCTGTGAGAGAGGAACGTCACTTTTCCAACCTCAAAACAGATAACAAACTTTTATTTTAGACGATGACATGATAAAAAATAGTATGTTGGCCATGGGAGCAAAGTAGATATCCTTACCTGGGTGTTTGCCACTCTTGCCTTCGGCTTGGGATGCAATTTTACACCCAGGTCAGAATATCATACTTTGCTCCCTTGGTTAATAATGTACAATTATTCTTTTCTTAATTATTATCTTTTATTATAGGTTTTGAAACGTGAACCAATAGATCAAGAGCTTGAAGGAAAAGTCATTAGTTGTTTGAGGATTAAATTTAGAGAGGCCAAATTAACTAACAAGTGCATGAAACAAATGACTGTAATTCTTCGTCAAGCAGCTCTCAATTATCATTTGAATCCTTTACTTGCTACGTTATGCGCTCACGAGGTATAATAACTACACGACAACATGTTTTATTATCACTTTCTAACAAATGATATGTGATTAGTTTGATGACATTATTTTTTATTATTACAGATTGAGACAATTTGTCATGCTGATGATGATGATCCTGGAAAAGTTGAAGAATGTTTGAAAGTAGAATTTAATAATAACAATCCAGACATGAGAGAAGAATGTCGAGTAGAGATTGCTAATCTCATTGAAGAAGCTAAGGCTGATATCAATGTGGATCCATTACTTCAGAAAGCTTGTAGTGTAGATATTGCCAAGTATTGTAGTGATGTTGCACCAGGAAATGGAAGGCGTAGGTTTTTTGTTGTCTTACTGTTACTGAGTCTTGATAATAATTTAAAATTATTTTTATTATATATTTATTTATATTAATTTTTTCAGATATAATATGTCTTCAAACTGTCATGGAGGACATGAAAAGAAAACCTCTTCAACTAGACTGCTACAAAATGTTATCAGCAAGAATTGAAATGTTCAAAAATGCCGTTAAATTGCATTTCCCAAACACTTTTGGAGAATTGTATTCAACTGTAAATCAATCACCAGCCAGGAAATATTTCATGGTCGTATCATTGACGATGATTGGTGTGATCTTTATTGTTGGTCTATTTTGTGGTAGAGTTACTCGAAGAACGATGATGATGAAAAATAAATAAGGAAGAAAAGATGATAATTTAAACTATAAGTAATTTAAATTTTAAAATTAATTCAGTACAACACAGCACAATTGTTGAACTGATAGAATTTTTAGACTAATTTTTAGCTAAATTTGTAAAGATGGTATTCTTTACATTTTGAATTTTATACAATCATTCTGTTTTTATACAAATACATAAAATAAAAAAAAGGAAACTTGGAAGAGACTTTTAAATAATTTTATACGTCTTCCAATGTTTCAAAAAATATTGTTTTAAGTACCGTTGTATATTAGTTATAAGACCGTTTTTAATTATTATAATTAATTAAAATCTCTGAATAATTTCATTTTTTTGCACGGTTGACCAATTGTAAATGTTATAAAATAAGTGCATTTGATTCAATTAAAGAAATGTAAATAGAATTATATTTATCTTAGAAAAAAAAATAAAAACAATCTAGAAAGTGAATGGCTTTTATATGGTGTTTTATAATTAATTATAAAAGATGAATGAAAAATTCACGCGAGTGTAAACACAAAAGCTGTCCAAGCGATTACACATTACGTGCATGTTTTCATGATGTTTTAGATTTCGTTCTCGTAGCAGCAGTTGCAGCCAGTAGTTTCTAAATGCACCGCGTAACAGCGCGCACGTAGTTCTTTAGTGCGTTGAGAGAGGGAGAATGAAAGAGGTGCAGGAGAGAAGTCTGTTGGCAGTTGGGTTATCTTGAAGAGTTTGCTACCTTCACCCGGACTCGCATGGCCTTAGCAAACTGGTGATTTGAGATTTAGTGATGGTGATACGTTTTTTGTACTGTCAATAGCAGTTGTAAAATAAATTCAGTTGTTAATAATAAACATCAGCGTGAGATATAATTAGATAGGAAATGATAAAGCTGGTGATAAAAGCAAAGATGTCGCAGCGGACAAAAGAAAAAAAATAGAACGACTGTAAAAAAAGATTTATGTCGAACTTACGAGTGTGTGTAGTTGTGTCTGATGAATAAATCAGGTCGGACAATGGCCGTTGTGATAATAACATAGGTGTGGTTAAATTTTTTTTGTCAAAGTATATATGTATATGTTTTTTAGAGGAAGATAAATGAACTAAAAGAAGTGAACAAAAAGAAAGGGAAAATATTGAAACCGATGCTGCAGCCTCGTGGATGTATAAACATAATCGGGCTTGTCCCTCCAGCCTCATCATCTTCTCCCGGACGATCTCATAACAGCTGGCAAGAGGAGGAGGAAGAGGAGGAAGAACGTAAAAGACCACCAACATAAGTGTCTCGTGTGTGCGAAAGGGTAGAGAGTATTCCGTCTGAGTCTCCCCTCTCCAGACCCCCGTGGGTGCGCCGAAAGGGAGCAAAAACGCAACAACGCTGCCATTTTGGGCTGTTGGAAGCGGAACTCACAAGCTCTTTCTAACTGTGGCCTCTCGTGGCCCCTTCTCTGACGCCGGTCGGCACATTGGTGCCTCTTCGCGCCTAAGACACGCTTGTAAACGTTGGTGTTTGTGACGTCCGATTGCTCATTGGACGTCGTCAATTGAGCTTGCTAAGGCGACGCCGCTGTCCGTCAGTGTATTCGCGGCGTTTCGCGCGACAGCAATAGCGGGGGGAAGGAGTGGAGAGTTACAATTCAACGTGTGCTCGTGGTTACATTGGTGTGTAAGTGAATCTTGTGGTGCTCAACTATAGCTTTTGTGAGTATTGGTTTTAACAGTGGTTACATACACACACAAGTAGTGGCAGTAACTCTGCGCATCACGGAACTCACGATTGAGCTTAAGAAGGGACGACCAACAAATGTTTTAAATGGACGCATCGTCCATTATCACTCAAGTGTCACGGGATGACGAACGAGGCCACTTCAATAAAGGGAAAGGTATGTTGACAATGGGTGTGACGACACATGGGGACCAGCTACATCTCCGTAGTTTTCTATTTTATGTTCGCGGGAGGTGTTCACCAGATGCTGTGTAGAGTCTGCACCTGTTACAGGGGAAGGGGAAGTTGCTTTGCCTCGCCTAGCTTCACCTTGCTCTATCCACTTTTTCCCCCCGCATATCTTCTACTCCAACTACTTACTAACTCACTTTTCTTGAGAAACTAAGTGACTTCTGGCTATTTAAACTCTACCAATTTTCTTTGCCTTCACAGTGCCTATTACTTACTTTCGAACTCAGCTACCTATATATCTCTTTTCATTATTTACAATTCCTCACTTTTTCCCGTTACTTTCAAACAATTGAAATAATTACATTTCTACCAATTGTTTATGTATGTGATTGGAAACAAACGCAGCAAATAGGAAAAATGTAAACGTTAACTCATGCAAAACATTGTCATTAATTTTTTTCTTGGACAGTCGGAATGCGAACAACAATTTCAATGAAGCATATCGGGAAGGTTGATTAAAATTTTCTCTTTTTGTCATAGCACAATTACCGAGGGAAAATGAAGCATCTAGCAATAGGCCTCCAGATGGAAAAAAGCCACGAGGAAGAGGATTACTACGCTCTCTCCTCTGTTGTCTTGGCAGAGGCCGAGGTAGCAGCTCGAAAAGTTCAAAAACAAGTTCTCTCCAGGGTGAGGGCAGAGGTAGCCCATCTCCAGGAACACGATCATTTTTCTACCTTCCACCAGTTCGACATCAGGATATGCACAAAAAATGTATGGTGATTGATCTAGACGAAACATTGGTGCATAGCTCGTTTAAACCAATCAACAATGCTGACTTTGTTGTTCCTGTTGAAATTGATGGAACGGTGCATCAGGTGTATGTTTTGAAGAGGCCTTATGTTGATGAATTTTTGCAGAGAATGGGTGAACTTTATGAGTGTATTTTATTTACCGCGAGCCTTGCAAAAGTGAGTTTTATTCATTAATAAAGACAAAAAACTATTCATGTAATTTAAGTAATGATATCTATTTAATTATTAATATTTTAGTATGCGGATCCCGTGGCTGATTTGCTTGATAGATGGGGAGTTTTTAGAGCAAGATTATTCCGAGATTCGTGTGTTTTTCATCGTGGAAATTATGTCAAGGATTTAAATAAACTTGGTAGAGACCTTCAGCAGATTATCATTGTTGACAATAGCCCAGCAAGTTACATGTTTCACCCTGACAATGCGGTAAGAAATCAATCTAAACTATTTTCTTTTCTCTTTCTTGGTTATATTATTATTATCATCATCATCATCATCATCATCATCATCATCATACATCTAATGACCGTGTGCACTCTCTTTCCTCTGACATTATGGTATATTTTCATGGTCAGAGTAAATCAATATTCACAGAACAAGCTGCTGATGCGAAATAAACTCAAAACTACGTGTAAACTATTAACAGCAGCCAAGCATAATTCAAAAAAAAAGTTACAAGTCATTCTGAGTTGTGCTAAAAATATCCTAGTTAATTTTGTGATTGAGTAAAAACGTTAATTATAGATCAACGTTAATTATCGTTTTTCAAATTTTATGGCTAGACTTTGTAGAGGTTTCGATATTTTTCTTTATTTAGTAAATTAATTTTTTTCTTTTCCAGGTGCCAGTTGCTTCGTGGTTTGATGATATGACGGATTCAGAGTTGCTAGACCTCATTCCTTTTTTTGAAAAATTAAGCAACGTCGACAACATTTATACAGTGTTATGTAACAGTAATCATCCATATAATCACCTTACGATGAACCCCCAGGAAGGTTCGTGATGGCCTTCATCAAATCGTCGGTCATTCACATAGTACCGACGAACGTCCAATAACGCCGTCGAAGTAGAAACTTCTGTTTAAAAGACCACGAAATTGGTTCGATAAAAACAATTGTACTCTTCGTCTGGAGAGACGTTAAAGATTTGTCGACATTTTGAATTTTATCAGGTCATTTATGATTATGTCCTGCAATATTTTTATAGTAAGAGGACAATCGAAATGATTATATTAGGAAGAACTTAAATGAACTGCTGATGGCTTCCAAAAAGCAAACAATATTGTGATGAATTTAAAAATAATTTCAAGGTAGAATATCATGGACGTAATGGTTTTCTTTTTCTTTTTTTTGAAAAATATTTACACTAGATGAGTTAGATAGAAGTTGACCGAGCACGCAGTCTACATAGGTCAGTAGTGCGCGTGATCTTAAGTGATGAAGTCGAGGTCGATCGGCAAAGTTGAAGGGATAAAAAAAGATTACTACGTTTATTGTCGATCAGTGAAAAATATATATGGATAAAGGAATAAAAAGAAGCGATGCATATCACATTCTTTCTCTCTCCAGACAATGGCAAGGACACAGAATGATGAAGCTTTATATAACTAAATGATATCATTAATGAATTAAATTTTAATTAATCCCTTTCGAGCATTGATAGAAGTCAAAAACAAATATAACTGTCTCACGCTTCCTGAAGATTACTTTCATCTAGAGGAGCAACAATAAATCATCATATAGAGCTTGCCACATAGAAGATGATAACCATGCTTCGTGATATAACATAAATGAAGAAAAAGAGCCAATTGAATTTTATGAATATTCTATTGAGTAAAACAAACGGATCGTATAATTGTTATTACCCTTGCACCATTGCCACCTTCATTTAAAACGCTTCATGGGCGGTTATATTAATTGTCAAGGATTACGACATAAATCACTACTTGAATAATCGCTCACTTTGAGCAACTTGTCGTTGGTATATTTTTTTTTTATAATTCTCTTTCTCAGTCTCAATTACGATAAAAAGGACGAGAGAAAACGGACTGCCCTTTCAAATAGTTTTTCAAATTAATCTTGTGATTATTCGTGAGTTATTTCACGAAAATGAATTCCACAATCGATGAATGATAGTGTTTTTATCATCGAAATTGAATTTTAATTGGAAAGAGCACTTGTACTTAGTCGACGCTCGTTATTTCCAGTAACTCTTTGTGAAGGAACTGATCGATGTGACGCCAAAAAAAACAAAGTAACAAGATACACATAATTTATATATATATATATAAATATAAATGAATATTAATATACTATGTACTTCAGTGTAATAACTCTCGGTGATCAACAAATAACATTATTTCGACACCATCGATCCGTCCTACTATTACAACTACTACAGTCGCTGAGTATTCCCCCCTGTTAAGGATCCAGAGATGTTTTACGTCCTCTTCCTCAAATTATATGTTTGTTTGCTTGTTTGTTTTGTAATGCTCCTAATAAGAGCTATTAGGTTAATCGCCAGATTTTTATGTAGAATTGTTTACATATACGATTGCTATAATCGTCATTTCGTAATTTTTTACACTCGTGCGCACGTACGTTAGTCGTGTTCGTGAACAATTAGAAAAAAGAACATGAGGATTTAATTAAGGACCAGATGTTTGTGACAAATACAAAGAAAAATTTGTGTAATGATTTATATAAATAGAAAAAAAAATCACGCAAGATTTATCATAAACGTGGCATTTGCTGGGACTAAATGTGGAATGTAAAGCAAACTCGAAAGGAATACTAAAAAATTAAATGAGAAAGTAGAAATTAATAAATAATCAGTCGTAAATATTTTATTGGTATTAATTGACTGAGGCTCAATTCAAGTATGCCGCGTAAATATTGGTATTTTTTATGCAAATGACGAAAATAATTAATTAATTGGTGCTTCCGTAATTAAAAAAATTAATTAAAATTAATAAAAACTATTTAATACATTTACAATTCAACGACAGATGTCTCGGCTCTCTTCGTACTAGTTTCGTCGACGAATTTTTGTAATGATTATATGTACAATTGAAAAAAAAAATCATGTAAGTGCATACGATGATAATCAATTTGCGACAAAAATGAATGATTCCTTTATTAAATTTTTTTTTTAAATGATACAATTTAAATAGTGTATATTTTAAATCGTGCAACAAAGAGTGAGTGAGGATGAGTGAAAATGAATGAAAACAAAAAAAAACTATTAATGTAAATTTTGAAAAGATTTAAACAGAAACTAATATAGCTCAGCCAATTGAAAGTTTGCTTATTTGAATTGCATTTTACCATATTGGCTATCGTTATATGCATTATCACATATAAATAAATATATATATATATACATAAATGAAACGTACTTATAGGTGCGTTGAATGAACTAGGATCTTATGACGAAGATTTAAAAAATGCCGCAATGATTATTTGCAAGTACAAAGTTGTTACTTTTAGAGAGAAGTTATGACTTTTACAAGTCAATAACACGCGCAAGAAATAAAATATTAAAATGAAAAAAAAAAGAAAGCATAAAAAGAATTATAGAATTTAGAACGCGAGGAAGAGAAGAAAACAGTTACAGTGAATGAATGTAAAAGAAAATGTGTGTATATGTGTGATTAATTGATTTATGAATTAAAGATGAAGAAAAAAACTAATTAAATTTTAAGGATATGAGATATAGTAATTATTATTAAGATAAAATAACATAGCCGTTTTTAAATGAGAAACCTTAAACGACACTTGCGCATAGAGTCGAGAAATAAAAAATTTTTTATATGAAATCAATTTCATATTAAAACGATTTTTATTAATTCTTAAATTAAATATAAAAGAAGCCACAGATGCGAAAGTCATGGTAATCATGGAATAAATATAATGTGAGCACTCAAAAGAAATATATATATTGTACAAAATTTGTCACAAAATATGTAAAAAAAAAATCGAAAAAATTCATTTTAAAAACATAGCTAATAAGATGGAAAAAAAAAATATAAGAGAGGCAAATTTTTAAGCGGGATATTAGAGTGTTGAATATATCAGTATGCATGTAGTCATAATTAACAATATTGCCTTGATTTGTAAATAAACTTGAAACTTCCAACTAATAACCCTGTACTACAAATACTACGTCACTATCACATCACAAAGTTGTCAAATGTTGTTTATTTGTTTTTATATGAAAAAATTTATATTATAATTGTTTAGGTTATTTTATTTCTTATTTTATTTATATATCTTTTAGGCAATAAATGTTATAAGCGATTAAAGTCATTTTATATTTAAAAAAAAATACTACTTTGTGTTGTAATCAGTGATAAGACAATAGTTAAAAGAGAGTATGTATTTCCCATCCCCTCAGATCATGTCCAGTTTGCTCTGTGATTCTGTGTTTAATAAACAAAAAATATATACATGTATCTTTGATAATTTTGACGTTGTATATACTCTTTTTTACCTAAAAATTATTCATTAATCATAAAGTACCATCACATTTTCATATCTCATAGATAAAAATTAGAAAATTTTGTTTTGATAATTCTTGTTTATTACCGTTCTTCCTGGCTTTGTGCCGGAATGTTATTTAGGTCGATGTGTTCAACCATCATGTCTAAAAGTAATGAGGCATGACCTAAATACATTGGTTTACAGATTACCGATATCTTGACATTAATATTGTAAAAGTCAGGACCTAACGTTGACCTTTACCAGAAAAACTTTCAACATGTTTATTCATTGAAAATTATGTTAAGATATATTTCATAATGAATGAAAATCGGTTATAATTTTTAATTTTTTCCCATTTTTTATCATTTGCATGTTACAATAGTTTTATTTTAGTTCTAAATATTAATTTACAGCTAGTGCTGATTATGTTTTACCAGCCGTTATTGACAATGGTGAATGCAGGAATTGTGATTAATCACGAGGGAAATTCGAATGTCATGTAAAGATTAAAGTCAAGATATATATCGGAATATCCAATACGAAACATCTGTTGGTTTAAATCAGAGAGAATTCCAGATCATGATGGTTTAAAATCCTCTTTACAGTAGTTGCAACTAATTTATAATTGCTCAGCTGTGTCGTATTCATCATGAACACTGGAAAACTGTAGGGAACCAGATGTTGATACGGCCAGTTGTTACTTCACATCTTCCATACTGAAAAGGATCTGCTTAATATGGGCGTTCATGTTGGAGTCGTTTTTTGTAATTCCACTCAAGTTCAGACAAGAATAATTGGCTAAAAGGTCAAGTTTCAGTCTTATTTCGTCGATGTGCGTCTGAAAAATAAAAAATAAGGCTCATTGCAATAATTTTCGCATAGAAAATCAAAAAAAAAAAATTTCCGGTACCGGGAATCGAACCCGAGCCTCCTGGGTGAGAGCCAGGTATCCTAGCCACTAGACCATACCGGAGCAACGTAAAATGGTATTGTAAACACTTAAATATAACATCATACTTTTTTGTATAACTACATATATGCGCACGCACATGTTTAACAGTCTGAATTTTCCCGCGTTTTTTATCTCATATGAGCTCCCTGGTACCGGCAGAGAAGCATACAAAGGTTTATTTATTCTCCCTCAGAGTTCGGTCGTAATTCGGTCGGTGAATTTTTTTTATATTCACTCTATTCCAATTTCATTTTTCATCAAAAAACATTAAAAATATTTTATCAATATTTTACGTGATTATTAAATATTCAAGTGTCTGAGAAAATAAAAAGTTACTGCTGTTGAGTGGCTGAAAATGTGGTTCTGGTATAATTGCCGCAAATCGAGTAATTTTTCACCTGAGAATAATAATATTTCATATTTGCAATTACTGGTCAGTTGGACCTCTTATCAAAAATGGCTGACCTCTGAATTTTTCTCATAACTTAGAGGTGTCAATTACGTATAAAGATTTTGAATAGTATTTTATTTAATAGAACATTAGATCATAAAAATTCTGCTCATTATGCCGAGGGTTAAAGGATCACCAAAAAAATGTGTCAAATCCAACACACCAACTAATTCATGGGTTTTTCTGATGAAAGGTAAATAAAAAAAAAACAAAACCACCGATCAATCGTTCTTCAATAACTTTTTTTATTTTAGGAGATGGAATAGAAGGTCCAGATGGCAGTATACCAGATATTGTAAAACTTAGACACCCAGCATCTAATCAACCAGCGATGTTTCTTTTTAGTCCTGGAGATGTAACAGTTCAAGAAGTTTTAACTGTTGATGAAAATAAAAGATCTTGGTTCATTGATGATAATGTCAAATCCGATGGAAAAATGCATTTGTCAACGCCCATTGATCCTATATTTCTTGTTTTACCTTATCTAAGAAAGTCACAATATGCTATACCTATGGATCAGTTACTCAGAGATGAAGATTACCCAGAGATTGAAAGATTAGCTCGTTGTCAGAATTTAAAACTTTCACTAGTTGCTGATCGTCGTGGAGATGAATCGCTTCAAGCTTATAAGTTTAATGAAGAAAAGACGATGTCTTGGCTGCAGAAAAAGGTTGAACGAGTTTCTGAAGTACTTAGACAAAAAGGAATTTACGTCTCTCAAGGAGCTGTCAGTGCTACTTATGTCAAGAGTAGTAAAAACGAAGGCGGAACTGACAGTGGTAAGTCTCTTTTTTTCATTATTAGTTTCAATCTTAGGAACATTTGAAGCTTTAATTTTTGTTTCTTGATAGAATATTTACGATACGCTCATGGAATCGTCTCAGAATATTTGAGTGAAGATTTGTCAAAAAATTGGCTCAGTTTCTTAATTTACCCGAAGAAATAGAAAATAATCCAAAGCGAAAACTTACTAGTCCAAAAGATACATCTGATACCAAACGAGTTAAAAGTGAACATATGGAATCTGAAAGTCCTCCAAAAATGCGAGCATTAGATCTAACTAAATCTGAAAAGGTTTATATTTAAAATTAATTAATATATAGTCTGCTTTATTTTGGAAAATTAATCATTTCATTTATTTTTAGCCACAAAAACAACCAACTAAGAAAGAACTTACTAGACAGAAAGCTGCAGCTGGATCAAAAAGTATTGCCAGTTATTTGAAAAAAAAATAAGTTAGATAATAAGACTGTTTGAATGTTTTTATTCGTGACAATCGATAAACCGATTTTATTGATATTTATTAGTAAATTACTTTGAACTGAAGGCAGCAACGATCATACGCAACTTAAATATTGTGATGTTCTACTCTTAAACCGTATTCTAATCATAAGTGAAAGTTTGCCAACTGGTTTTTGTGTAAATATTGTTCGTTACTTTATTCAAAAACAACTTCAATATTTTGTACAGAATTTTTTTTTATCATATTACTGTCAGTGTCCTGCCAAATTAAGCATTCAATTTCCATATTATATTAATATTAACGTTCTATAAAATAACTAATTAAGGAAGTCTGAGTATTTCGCAATAATCTCAATTAAGATGCTTCAAATAATGTACTTAGAATGGTACTTAGGATTGTCCATTATTTGTCTAATGATAAACAAATTAAGACTTGGAATATTATACTATTAATATTGTTCAATCTTTATTAATTACATAATTATATTAAAACAGTAATATAGAAAAATTTCCGACAATTTTTATAGCTATTCTGTTATCATTTTTTCTGATGTTTCCGCATCACGACATTTGGCATGTTGTAACTCCCTGCGGATTTCTGGAGTAATTGAAGGATGAGATTGTTTCCGTAATAAGTCTAGTAATGCTTCTTTTTGCTCTGAACTTATATCACTTTTGTAACGTTGCACAAACGTTAAGAAAGCCTGATGCCATAAAACTGGAAGCTCTCTGGTCTCTCTTTCAAATCTGTAATTATATGAATTATGTTTAATCATCTGCTACTTATATGAGTTTCACATCAAAATTTATAGTGTATTTTTAGTGTACTATTCAAATTCTTGATAAAAAACATCAAAGATTAAACATTGGGTTAAAAATAATTAACTGAAATCGTTTTGTAGGAAACATTTATAGAAACATACTTGAAATAAAAGTGAAGTATAACAGCAAGTTTTGCAAAATGTCTAGGAAACAAAATTCATTTATCCATTGTTTTTTTTTAAGCCTGACCAGACTAGATTAATAAGTTTTATAAAAGATATATTCAATATGCATTTTTTAGCTTTAAGTTTTTCTATTTTAAACCAAATTAAGTGCTCAAGATATTATGAATGTCAATTATATTGTTGTAAAAGGTTTAAGTTATTTGATAAAAAGTACTTGAGTAATTGAATAATTAATTTTGATATTTTACTTACCTCAGGAAATGAAATACAACTCCATCAATTACCCGATACGGTAAAGCATATTTTTTATCTAGAAATATTCTCAGAAAAATACTATTAGCACCTGTGTAATCCATTTCAGCAATTTTCAATATTGCAGCAGATGAATGAAGGATTGGAATTGAATTTTTCGCAATTACTGACCCAATAATAACGGCTTCTCTCAAAGTGCAAGTTCCAGATTCTAGCAAAGGTAATATAATGCCTTTCATAAATCCTCCTGGCTTGAAAAGAGCTTTTCTTAAAGCTTGATATAAATGGAAGTTTAGCCTTTTGTATTCAGCTAAATCATCTCTTATTCTTGGAAGTAAAACTAAATTATAAAATCTTTGAGCCATTTTTTCTTTAAGATTAGACGCAAAAATTCTTGTTGCTTGGTACATTGCAGCTGCTGACCACTTTGGTGGGTCTGTAATATATAAAATTTGTTCCCAATTTCTGAGACTTGGAACGACTTTAAATGCTTTTGGTATTTTTCCACTTCGATATTTAGCTAAAACATCTCGAACTCCTTCGTACATTGCTCGTACTCGAGGATCTATTTCTTGTACCTGTAGAGAACCCGCATCAGTAAACTGTGTTTCAATTTCTGTTTTTTTCTCTGTTAATTTTTCCATTATTATATCAGCTAAAGTTCGAACAGAAGGTCTGTTATGATCCATAAACATTTGTAAAGCTCGTTCATCTTCATCATTAATTTCAATATTTTCATAATATTCATTTCCTGTGACTTCCTCTTCACTCTCTGCATTTTCATCATCACTAAAATCAGGTCCTAATTTTGTCAGTGGTTTTTGTTTGCTTGAAGAGTCCTCATTTTCTGCCTCCAGCTCCATAAGCTGTTTCCTGGCTTGTGACAAAATTTTCTTGGACAAATTGGCGTCAACAAACTACAGAATAAAAAAAATTAATTAATCATCACCAATTAAACATACTAAATATAAAGGAGATAGTTTATGAAAAAACTTTTACAAATATTATAAATAATAATAAAACAAATTTTCTAACCTCTTCATCTTTATCATTGCGTAGACGAACTTTATGTCTATCTTTTCCTTTTACTATTTTATCTCCTTCAATTTGATCAGCTAGAGAAATTTTCGTAGTTTCTGGTTCCTTTTTGGATACTTTAATTTTTTTTGCTTTACCCATTTTTGTTGATTTTTAATTACACCAAAATATCAATCAAATACACGTGTGTACATTTGCACTTATAAACGCCAATCAACACATGTTTCTTTTCAACATTTACTTCATGGATAAAACAGATCCATTCAGAACAATCGATAATGTAGAATTCAATTAGCTTCAGCTGCTCCCTAGGATACGAAATCAGAACTACTTTTATTTACGCGGGAAATGACCTCCAACAACAAGCCAAGTGTAAGGTTATAACATATTGTTTCCAGCAGCAAGTGTCGTGCAGACTTACTGTGAATTTAATTATTTTAACAACCATTAATAATTAAAATGGCTTCGAAAAGATCTCGAGATTACGCAAAAGATAGAGGTTAGTAAAAATATATTTTTAATTCATTTCTGCTCCAAATGTGTATATTTTAACTCACAATATACTCGGTATGTTAGACTAACTCAATCACACTAACTCAAACTTTAAAATAATTTTCCATTTAATATCTTTTTTTTTAATTTCAGAGCAATTAAAGGTATTTTTAGAAGAATTTGTAAAAATGGATGATAAATCTGGTCAAAAATTCTTTATATATAGGGAACAATTAACTCGGATAGCTCATAGGGAGCAAATTGCACTTACAATAGATCTCGATGATATTCATGAATTTGATAATGAATTAGCAGAGGCTATTGCTAACAATGCTCGACGATATGTAAATCTACTTTTAGAGGTAATTTAATTATTATTTCAAACTTTCATAGAAATTTTTCTTTCAACATCGACTTGCAGAAAATAAAATTTTATGTTTTATTATTTTTAAGCTTATTCAAGAAATGTTGCCGGATTTCAAAGAACGTCCAGTACCACCTAAAGATGCTTTGGATATTTATATTGAACATCGATTGCTGATGGAAGCAAGAAATAGACATCCTGGTGACCAACGTGATCCTAGAAATAGATACGCTCCGGAATTAATGCGTCGATTGTAAGTTAATGCAATTTTTTTCTTTAGATTTTCTAAATTAATATTAACACATTAAAAATACATTTCTTCTAAATATCTACAGTGAAGTAAACTTCAAAAACTTTGATGCTGCTAAACAGCTGTCAGTGCGAGATTTAAAAGCTGGCAGCATTGGAAAATTAGTAACTGTTCGTGGAATAGTTACAAGATGTACAGAAGTAAAGCCTATGATGGTCTGTGCTACATATACATGCGATCAGTGTGGTGCTGAGACTTATCAAACTATCCAATCTCTCAGTTTTAAACCTTTGAACATGTGTGAGAGTGACGACTGTAAAGTAAACAAATCTGGTGGTAGACTGTACATACAAACAAAAGGATCAAAATTTATCAAATTTCAAGAGGTCAAAATACAGGAACACAGTGATCAAGTACCTGTTGGACATATTCCAAGATCATTAACTATTTATTGTAGAGGAGAAACAACAAGGCAATGTTTACCAGGAGATCACGTTGTATTTACTGGAATATTTTTACCAATTAATAAAACTGGCTATAATGCAAATCCCGGAGGTGCTTTGTTGAACGAGACATTTTTAGATGCTCACCAAGTCGTTACATTAACAAATCTACAAACTGCAGATGACAGCAGTAAACAGTTGACTCAAGAAGAACTCGACAGCTTCATGGGAGACGATTTTTATACTAAATTAGCTACTTCAATTGCTCCAGAAATTTATGGACTGATTGATGTAAAGAAAGCTCTTTTACTTTTACTCGTTGGAGGAACTGATAAGAAAAAAGGAGATATTAAAATTCGTGGTAACATCAACATCTGTCTCATGGGAGATCCAGGAGTAGCAAAGTCTCAATTGTTAGGATTCATTACTCGTTTGGCACCTCGGTCTCAATATACAACAGGACGTGGATCATCAGGAGTTGGTTTAACAGCTGCAGTTCTGAAAGATCCTCTTACTGGGCAAATGATGTTAGAAGGAGGTGCTTTGGTTCTCGCTGATCAAGGTGTATGCTGTATTGACGAGTTTGATAAAATGGCTGATGCAGATAGAACTGCAATTCACGAAGTAATGGAGCAACAGACCATTTCTATAGCTAAAGCTGGTATTATGACCAGATTAAATGCTCGAGTATCCATTTTAGCTGCTGCTAATCCTGCATATGGAAGATATAACCCTAAGAGGACTATAGAACAGAACATTCAGCTTCCTGCGGCTTTATTATCACGTTTTGATCTCCTTTGGCTCATTCAGGACCGCGCAGACCGGGATAACGACCTCCGGCTTGCTCAACACATTACTCATGTTCATCGTACTGGAGTTCAGCCTGCTACAGAAACTGAAGCTCTGGACATGAATTTGATGAGAAGATACATTGCACTTTGTAGAACACTTGAACCTATGGTTAGCCCAGAAATAACTGATTACATTGTTGAATCATACGTAGAGATGCGAAGAGAAGCAAGAAATAGTCATGATAAAACTTTTACTTCAGCAAGAAATCTCTTAGCTGTTCTACGTCTATCAACGGCTCTCGCACGCCTTAGATTATCTAATGAAGTACAGAAGGAAGATGTTGCTGAGGCTAATCGTTTAGTGGAAATGTCCAAGTATTCAATTAATCATTCTGAGACTCAAACAATAAATAGAGGTGTGAGTACAGCAAATAAAATATTCCAGTTGATCAGAGAAATTGCTGGAGATTCTAAGACAGTTAAAGTTTCTGAAATCTTAGAAAGATGTACCAATAAAGGATTCAATCAACATCAAGTTGATGATTGTATTGAAGAATACGAAGAACTTAATGTTTGGCAAGTGAATCAAGCCAGAACTCAACTTACCTTTTTTTAAAATAAATTAAACTAATCATTTTTTTTATCCAAATATCAATTTGATGAATGAATTATTTAAGTAAAATTAGTCGAATTCGACTTTTTAGACTATCTCTTCAATAAGCGCTACTTTGAAAACTGTATTTTTATGAATAAAACTGTATTAAATAAATTTTTAATGTTTTTAATGATAATGAAATATTAAAATGTAATTTTGATAAAAACTTTCAAGTTGTACAATTAGCTCAGTTAATAATAAAAACTTTCTAAACAAAACTTTATTACCATCAGATTTAGGCGGGAAAGTAAAAATTGTAATACCACGCATGCGTGAAATCCCCGCTCTTCAGCGTCGCAATGAACGCGCGCACTAGTTCATCCCTTAGTGCAGAAACTGATCAGTTGCGCGCGGACAGTCTACCGGTACTTGCAATAATTGCAAGTGTGTCGAGAAGACGGGAGACACGATACATTCGTTCGTCGTTTCGTGTCTTTGTTTCGGTTGGTGAATTATTCGCGTTTTATCTTTTTATTGTCTAAATGCATATATGTTAAATGTTTGTGTATAACGTATTAAGATATTCCCGGCAAATAAGTGTCGCTGCGAATTTGTCGATTCAAATACGCCGGTTATGTCGATTAAATGTGTAATTTTAGTAAATTACTGTCGAAATATCTTTTGACAAAGTTATTTTATTTATAAAATAAAGTAAACATCATTACAGTGAAGGTGGAGTAATAGTTGATTTTGAACAAGTGTCAACAAAATATAAAAAATGAAAGTGATCTGCTTAACAATTGTGTTTTTATACCTGATTGGCGGTGTCGTTTCGCGTTCCACTAGATCTACAAGACGACACGGAGGTGGAGGTGGCGACACTCCAGGAAACTGCGAATCAGTTAGACCCTTTTTTGAGCGTAAAAATATCACAGTTGATTTCACAACAACGTTTCTCCCCAGCGACATTTCGTTGAGTAAGTAAATTTAATTGACCATTTGCGGTAAATTTTTGTTTACATATCAGTTACCTAAATTGATCAATTATTGGCAAGTTAAACCCACATGTATGCTTTCGATACTTTAAACTATCATATGAAATTTAGTGTAGAGCTGGTGGAATGTCAATATATCATCCATTTATTGACAATTGAAGTAATTTATTTTCGATTGTTTGAATGGCACATTTTATCAGTCATATGATGAAATATAGATACAATGTAATAAGACTTGAATAGACAGACTCAGAATTATTAACAGTCAATTCTTTGTGATTTAATTCAGTAAAAATATCATGTCTTGGAGTTATCAGTATCAAGAAAATATGCAGTCTTATACAAAACCTACATTAAAATGATATAGAAGCTCCAATTTTAATTTAATGTTTGAATACTGACGAAATATTTATTGCGTAGATGAATACAAGTTTATTCTTTTTTTTTTTTTTCATTTTAACTCCAAATTAGGAGGCATAAAATAAATATTATTGTATGAAAAGTTAAATATCAACTGACAATAATTTTATTACATAAATTAAAAATTCAATTTCGATTTTGGAGTAAAAAAATAATCTTCAATAATTTGATTGCTTTTTTAAATTTTTTACTATATCTTATAAAAGCAAATGGCATCATTTGTTAAAAAAAAATTTTTTTTAATAAAAAATGTAATTTAAATTCCATTTTATGTATTTACTCTAATAGTACATGATGAATTTAAATTACAGAGACTCTTCAGAGCAAGTAAATTGAGATATGGAAAAAAGTCTTTTAATAAATCTGAAGATTTTCTTATATTATATATGAGCTTAAGATATTCACAGGATTAACCTCTCGACATTTTTTTAACCTTTTCATTCCTCTTTACCTCCCGGCACGCTTCCGGCGCGTGCCGAATAATAATCTAACGGATCTTGATAGACGTGTTGAGAGATCTTGTAACCAGATCTAATCGTGATTATTTCTTAATCCTCTCGTACTTATTCTTCCTATTTAAAATACCATCCAATGTCACACTGGTGGTATACATAAGTACCAATGCTAAGAGAAGCACGATTATTATCACATTTTGTTGGTGTTGCAATCTAGACTTAACCTGCCCCTTTACACTTTTGACAAACTACTCAGTATGTATATATAATATAAAAGGATATACATAAAGTAGACAAAAAGATTCCCACTAAAAAGCTTTTATATACGAGGGTTGTAGGTTTTTTTACTCAAGTCATTTGCGGTGAGAAAAAAATAAAAACGATAGAGTAGCATGATCAGCAGACGAAGAAAAAGGAAGAGAAGAAGAGGGTCTTTGCTATAAATCTGCTATAAAATATATATACAACTACGCCAACGCATGTATTTCGAAATCGTTATTTTGATGATGAAAAGAAAAATATATATATATATATATTAGATGATGAAGAATCGTAAAACATTCTTGTTATAAAGGAATAAAAGCATTTTCAAAACAAAAAATCATGTGACGTCTTTTTCCACCTTTATATCATATTTTGTGACCATTTAGTATTTTTCTCACAAATTTTTCTTTATTGGTCAACCAAAAATAAATTTATGATGAGGAAGAATGAGGCGTTGATGAAGGTATATAGAAGTAAATGATGATGTAAATGACGACTTAAACATCCACCTCGAGTTTAGCGGCAGGTAAAGTTAGATAAATATCGAAGTCGGAGGCTTAAGCGATCAACCAGTCGATCGGGACATTAACTCTCGTGACAGGCACCAAGTCGACTAATCGAGCCAACCAGTTTTGCGGCCGACTGTGGCTGATTTGCTCATTTAGGTTAATTAAAGCATCCTCACGCTTCTTGCCTCCTATATTCCCGACTCTTTCTCTTAATCACTTCCCCTTTCCATCATTTCCCGCGCTATTCTAAACATACTGTGTATGATTCTATGCTATTAAGGTAGTAGTTGAAGTCCATGGCATCATTTCGAGAGCCTCGTAACGACAATTTGCATGATTGACAGCGTGTATTATGCTACAGGCGTTGGTTATTGGTGATAAAGCAGAAGGTAGCCGGATAAGCTAATAATGCTTCTTATATTTTGTTTCCTTCGCTATTCGTTTTATATCAACTGAAGGTTGACGATAGAAATACTCGAGAAATTCCTCGAAACAAACCTTGCTATGTTTACATTTTGATTACATAGAATTCGATTGTTCGAACGGTATTCAACTTATTTCACTATATTTGATTATTGAACTGCCATTTTATCTTTATATTTTCTTCGGCTTTAGATGTATCCCTTGATTTTATCTGAAATTCCCAAATATTGGAGTTCAATTTCAGTTATCTATTTATTGGATTATCTACTATATACCATTCTGACTGTTATTTTCTTTTATATAATAATTATTTTACTTTCTGAGAGGATTTAATTTCTGTTAAATTCATTGAACATATTTTTTAAAATCATGGTAATGATTGATATTGATAAAAACCAATTTTTATTTAAAAATCAATAGTATCAGTAAGTAAGAAATTTAATTCGAACGAAATAACGTTGAGTTCTATTGGAGTAATGTGCTGTAATAATATTTTTCGCTCTATTTAACGCTCGTTAGTTATCATAGTATATCAGATAAGAATTCTAAATCTATCAAAGAGTTTTGTAATTTTTTATTTTTTTTATTTTACAAATTCAATTCAAAATATATAATTTCAAAGAAACGATGTATTTTGTGATGAATATTATTTATGTTAAACTTGTCTTGTAAATCTTTCTTTCATCGAAAACTTCTATAAAATATTATCGATTCTATTTAATTACCTTTTCGTTGTCTATAAAATTGAAAAATATCTGTAGAATCATCTTTATTCCAGCAAGTACCTTCAGCAAGATTTTTACAATCTGTTTCTACAGCAAAAATTCCAAAAAATCGTAAATTTCTATCGTAAATTTTCCTTTTATGTTTTGTTCAAAGATTTTTTTGACTGATCTGATATTAAAAGGTTCTGTAGAATATTGGTTAATTTTATTTTTACGAGCCATCTTTCTGTACACTCAATCTGATTAGAAAAAAGTAATTTTAGGAATCTGTTCAATTCCGAAAAAATACATTGTACACAGGATAGTTTTATTTTTCACAATTATTGGAAAAATTGTTTCTCTTCTGTGTTTCGTCCATCCCTTCAAGATGTAATAGATACTGGAAACACATAAAATTCTTGCTTACTAGTAAATTTTCATCTGTACTATTTTCTTGTTTATCTCGTATATGAAAGAAAGAAATAAAATAATAATATAAAAATATATCTATTGTTCATTGAGCATCATACAAAAAGATAAAAATTTTTTTCCTTATCATCTGGGTTTTTCAGATTTTACTTTATGACATAAATGATGTAAAAAAAAGTACAATTATGTCCATTTTTATTCACAACAGTTTCTTATGCAAGCCGAGAACTATAATTATTAATTAATATCATGATTTGCACTTTTTATCGTGTGAAAAATAGTTTATTATATGAGATAAAAAAAAATAAGGGAATGATTCTTGCACATATTCTTATCTTGATTTATAAATTAAATAAAAATATTTGAGGTTGATTAATTTTTTAATATTAAAATCACAAACCACAAAATTAATTAATTTTCTTCGAGTTACGTAAATACTTTTATTTCTAACTTTATTTCTATCGTGAATTATTCTAATAATTTTACATCAAATATTAAAATAAATTATTTAAAGTAAAATTTTCGTATTAATAATTATATTTAACTGCTATTTAAGGTATTAAAACATTTTAATCTCTAAAATATTGTTCAGACCTAAATTTCAAATTATAAAATACATATGCAGATTTTATTTCTTCAAAATACCAAAAAAAATACTTCAATTCAAATGACCTTTCTTCAAATTTTTTCATTTCACAATAATTACACTACACAAGTTCACAACATAAACTAAAACTCCATTATTACTTAATAAAATATTTGACTCATTGTTTTTTATTATGATTACACTCTTTTACAAAATGAAAGTTTAAAAAGTCTAGTTAAAAAACAAGAGTAATAAAATGGCTTTCAACATAGATATTAAACGAAAAAATATTTCAAATTTATCTTGAAGCTCATTTAAAAACTCTTTAGTCATAAATTAGTATTTACTCAAGCTTGTAACATTTTTCTCCATCATTGCACGATATTTTCTACATATGTACAAAATGTCAAAGGACTGTTGGAGTAGTTGCAAATTCAATTTCTCGCTGGCTGTCTTGTTTCACTATGTATATATCCTTAAACAACCTACAAAACAAAAAATAAATTAAAAGTTGAGTTTTAGAGACAAAGATATAGAGTACACGTTCATGTAGAGACTGTTGGCTTCCGGGTATGTCGAGTCTGGGATAGATATATGAGCATGCAACGACGAAGCTCGACTCGAGGCCGGATCCAAGACTGTAACGTGTATCATTATACCTCTCTACCTCGTATATAATACAATCGCGCGACCATAGCGTCGATTTGTGCTTCCCAACGATCACATCCAAGGGTCGAAGGTGTCGAATGCCGGACGAGGTCACGCGAGACGAGAAGACTGTGAAAGGTTCAATCCTCAACGTGGGTATATGAGAAACTATTTCATCCCACGGGATATCTCTTCTAAGAGAGCACCTGCACAAATACATTATTTTAACCTTTATCTATTGTTTTTATCTATGTTTATTATTTTTACCAAGGGTGGAATTTATAGGATGATTTAGGCCAATAAATTCATCAGATTTTTTGTTTATTTACATTTTTCTTTCTTATTTAGCCCTGTGTGTGATGAGTGATGATGCATTGTAGAATGTATAATAAAAATGAGGAAGCTCTCTACAAGACTCCAAGGGAGACCCAAAAACCTTTTAACACACTTTCCGTCACCCAGCCCTGACCTCAATGCAATTCTCTCTTAGTAAAGAAACATCTTATTTTATATCAAAATTCACCCCTCTGCCAACAAAAAATACTTCCTTAATGCTACTATAAATTACAGCTATCATGTAGGGAATATTTCTTGTGCTGTTTATTTTACTTCTTGGATTTTTTCATTGTTTACTAGAAGTTTTTTTTTTGATTAATTATACCTAAGAACAGAAAGGATTCTTGTTTGCAAAAAAAAATATCAGGATGTTTGTAACTATTTCATAGATAAAGCCATTAATTTTACAGCTAATGAACTCCGTATTTTTTAAATAAATATTTATAAGTGGCCTATTTTTTTTTTTTACTTGTAATGTTAGATGTTGTATTAATAAGATAAGTTTTATTTAACTATGATGTTAAATTTGTAAAAAATTCGAGATACAATAAATTGTTGGAATGTGGTTTAACTTGTCAATAATTTAGATGATTATATATCATTTGGAACTAATTATTTATTAAAAATTTATAATAATACTTTATAAAAAAATTAATAGAAAATATTCCATAGGGTTTTTAATCTTTTTTTTTTCTTTGCCAATATTTCTTAATTAAAATTATATAGTTCTTTTCTATATTTAATTTTTTTTTACAAAGGACGCTTTATAAAATAATTTTCAATAAAACAATGCATGTAAATTGAATGAGAATGCTCTGTTTTTGTTTTTAAATTAGTTTAATTAAAAGCAAACATTTATTTTGACAAAAAGACAAAAAAGATTCTATTAAAGTAAAAATAATTATAATTTTTTTTACCAAGAACAAATATTATTTTTTATCTTCCATGACAAGTACTTTTTTTCTTTGATAAAACATTTTTTTTTTTATTATTACCAAACATAGTACGTATTTTTCTATAGTTCTGATTGCAAATTCTTTTATTACTTTTTTCCGTAACATACTTTTTATTTACCAAAAAAAAAACTAACACTAAAATATTGTGATAAAATCTTTTGAATTTGAGGGAAAACAGAACAAAAAAATACAAAGTTCAAATTTTATAAACAAATCTGAACAGAAGTAGTGAAAAAATGTAAAGTAGAAATAATACAATAAAAAAGAAAATAAAAAGTAGATTTACATGCAATTTTCTATCAAGTTTGATGTGCAAAAACTGCTCTCACTTTACAAGTGAATGTTTTTTTTTATATTATCTTTTATTTCTATTTATGTATAATATAATGTTGAATACACTTGAGGTACATTTGAATTTTCATTTTTTCAATAAACATTCATTATATTTATATCATGTTAAACGACTCATTTTGAAAGATAAACATAATGATAAAATATAATTGGTTTCTTTTTGTTTTCTTAGCGACATGCAAGGGCCACTGTTGCAGCCAACAGACTGAAGATCAACTGCGACAACAAGCAAGAGCAGACTTTCATAGTCTGATACACCACCACAGCAGAACTTTGCAAGGTTTACTTGCCACGACAGCAGATGCTTTGAGGGGTAAGTTCTAAATTGATAAACTTATCTTAAAATTAATCTTGTAAAGAAAACGTGCGTAAGATTTACGGTGTTACTGGTGAGATATAATTAACAACGCATTGTTAAAAGACAATTTATATAGAAATACTTTTCATAAAATTAGGTTGTATATTTCTTTTAGTAGTGTTTATATATATTTTTAAAAACATGATAATTATCAAATGTGATGAGATATTTTTATTTCTCACGTGCTTTAATTACCACTTATATTATTTTATGAATTATTAGAGCATGGAATAAAATGTGCAAAAAAATTACAAGTTGTATTAATAAATATTACATTTACTTTTAAATAAACTTTTATTATTTTTAGGTATTTAAATGATAATATTGTAAATAAAAAAAAATAATATTATGCATAAAAAAATTTTAATCTATTTATTATTATTGTTATTACTTTTAATTTTTTATAAAAGTGAGATAAGTAGAAACGTTTTTTTAAAAAAAAAAAAAAGGCAAAATCTTTTTCCTGATAACTTCAATCTCGTTTTTTTTCAAGGGAACTTTTTCGTATTGGAGTTCTTTTCCCTCGACACACTATTTTCTCTGAGAAAGAAGTTTTTATCTTTTCATATTCTATCATTTAAATAATTATATAATAATTTAGTGCTCACTAAATAATATATAAAGAAGTATAATTACATTTTTCAAGTATTTTTATTTTTAAATAATTTTACAGACATTATGTAAGATTAAAATTGTCTTGAATACTTCATCTCAAACTGATTATTATTTATTTTATAATAATTATTTTTATATTTTATCATTATTATTATTATCATTTAAATGTTTTGAAATTATTGTGAATTTCTTTAATTATAACGTTTAAAAGAATAATATATTTTAAATATAAAATTGTAAAGAATAATGTTTAAATATTTATGAGCATTTTAGGATATTATACTTACATATATATTTTAAATGGTTTTTTTTTGCAATTGTATTGTACTTGATGAAAAAGAACTCATCATGTTGGTGGAGTTAATCTACTATGATGCCAATAAAGAATACAATTTAAAAAAAACCAATCTACTAGACTATTTATTTTTTTCTGGTCTTAGTATACAACAAACAAAAAAATAAACAGTCTACAAAATCGAATAAAAACTAACGGAATAGCGAATTTCCCACATTTTCAAGGGAATTTCGGGGTTGCATCAAAGGCCGAGAGACGAAAGGCAGGATGAAAGAGAGAAAGGAGAAAAATGCGGTTCAACAGGCATCGGAACGCGAGTACATAATATATAGAAAGAGCAAGTAGTAGGGTAGAATTGAGAGAAAAGGGAGACCAGTTTGGTTCATGTGCAGCTTTCGTTATACGTTCTGTTGGAGACTTGAAGAGTTTGCAAAGTGAAGAATAAACGAAGAAGAAGCAGAGAAAGACGGTTTAGGTTGGCTTTCTCGCGCTCAAACAAACTCAGTCACTCGCCGTATAAGGCCATGTCGTACAATCCTCGCACGCCCGGGCGAGAGACTCCTTCTATATGTACTCTTTTACAACCTCGTCCTCCGCAGCTTCTGAGCCACTTGGCTGCCTTGTGAATTGCGATCGAGTATTGCAATTAAGTCGATTGCATGATTCGATATGTCTGTACTTTCCTTTTTTTTTTTTTCATTTTCAATAATTAATTTATTATAGATATTTTTAAATTTAAGAAAGGAAAAACATTGTAAAGATCTTTTTTTTAATAAAAATGACTGTGATAATCAAGAAATCATCAATTGATAAATAATGAAGATAACAAAAATAAATAAATGATTTTAAACATTATTTGATGTTGAGAAGATTCGTGCTTTTTTATTAATAAAAAATTTTTAATTAAAACTTTAAATAATCATAATTATTATTATTATTATTATTGTTGTTGTTATGTTAAAGAAAGAATTAACATTTTTACAACAAATACCTTTATGTCGTTAATGAATTTCATTGGCATTACTTTGACATAATGCATTTGTAATTAATGCCCCTCAATTGTAATTTTCGAATGAATTTCTGGAATTCATTCTTTCGATAATAAAAAAAAAAGCTAAGGAATCCAGTGTAGGGTCAATTCTTTTCTTACAATAAAATCACAGTAGTAGATTTAATATTGATTTAAAAAATTATTAATACAATAATTTATTTTCATTGCACATTTTATTTATTTATTTATTTAATAGTTGAAGTATTAAATATAAGTATCCAAGTACAGATCCATGTGATAATTTTAAAAAAATTCATGTAATCGATATCTTCAAATAATTTATTGATAAATTCGATGCTAATGATAAGTTTCTTGTGAAATTTCTGATAATTTTCAATTATTAATGAGATGTCGTTAAATTTTTGTCTCAAACCCAGTATCAGGCAATAATTTGATCATTAAAGTGTTGAATAAATTATTCAATTAAATTGTCTCATAAGTAATTTAATGTTTTTATTAATCAAAAATGTGTAAGTACAAAAAAAAATGTATTATCATAAATGAATGATATTAAATTTGACAAAATAATAATATTATAATAATGATGATGGTGATGATGATTTTCAAACATGATTTAAATTTAAGTGTTGTGCCTACTTAAGTAGACAACCAAAAACTTATAGTCTATCCATACTTGGTTTATTAAAAATTTATAGAAAGCAAGAACCGAAAAGTACTCAGAAGTGGTAAGAATATTTTATTCAGAAGCTTGAATAAAACATAATATGTTACTCGGAAAAAAACGTTCTTGAAAACAACGAAGAAAATTATTACAAAATTTTACAGAAAAAATGAGCACTATTATTTGTACATTTTTTTTCTTCATAAGCTCACAAATAAAAAATATTTACGATAACTAAATTTTATAAGTTAACAATAATAATTTAGACATCAGTATAAATGAATCAGATTAGAATAATTTTAATTTATTTTTTAAACTTTAATAATAAGTGTGAAATAAATATTCTATATATCGTCTAGGTTATTGAATTATCCTTATTAATAACTATAATGATTAATAAACACTTTGAAAATGCATTTTTTTCGAGGTTATTGCAATTTTAGAGCTGAGTCATAGTCGATTCGACGTAAAATAAATTTAGCAGGCACTAAACGTGCTCTCGATGCATACTTGCATAAACAGATTACAAAAACGTGATCTGTAGAACTGATTAACTATCGCAATCATCGTTTACACTTGATATCATCGATATTAATAGTCAATACTAATCAAATAATAAAAACAAAAGAAATAATTTTCAAAAACAAAGAAATAAAAAAAAAAAAAATAATAGCGTATCAGTCGAAGTTAATGGAAAAATGTAATCTCTTGAGGTATTCTTCAATGTGGTTTTCAAGATATGAAAAGCTGTCGAGTTAAAAATAAGATGAGAAAGGAGTTAAACGAGAAGACGGACAGGAATAAAAGGGAAGAAACGACAGGGTAGGGGTGGAATCCGGAACGAAACGCCTACACGAGACTATCGTGCGTGGAATCTCGATCGAGCTATCTCTGCTTAAGTAGAGGATAAAATTCTCCAACTCTTCACATACGTATAGATATATAGATTTCACCAATCCTACACACTCAAACTTGTTCTTCCTTCTGGCTTGGATCTACGTGCAATCTCAGCCCCGGTTTTAAGACTACCAGCAGATGAAAACCTGCTGAAAATTGGAGGACAAACCTCGACCAAATCGTGCTTTCCATTTTAATTTCCATACTTCCATTCATAAAATCCAAATCGTTGAGAATGTGCACATGTAGATATGGTAGATCTTGGAATTTATAGCTCTTATGACCTATCTAAATATCCTACAATATCGTGGGATTAAATTCCTCTAACTTCATTTCTCTGAATTAGTTACTAAATTTTATAGTATTCCTTTTTGTACTCAACTGGATTCCTTGCGGTGAATAATGTTGGAAAATTATGTACTTCAAGCTTTGAGAGATTGTTGAGAGAAGTGTTAAGTGGAAATGGAAAGTGGTCAGACATATAAGAGTGTGATGTGATTAGAATTTCTTTTTTCTTTTTTATTCTAAAGATTTATTGGACTTGATTTTTTTTAATGGATTATCTTTTATGCACTCTTTTAAAGAAGATTTTGAGAGAATTTTTTGTTATCTTCATTTAGAAGATTTATTTACTGGTGTAATAAATTTTAAACTTTATTTTGAATTATTAATTGATGAAAAAATGTAGTTTGGCATTTGATTTAAAGCCCCTATTGATGTTATATAAAATACTTACATTAAATTTAAAAAATTTTCAAGAATTTTTGGTGAATAATAAGGAATAAAGAAATGCAGACTTCAGAAGTAAATATCATTAATGAGAATAATCAATTTTATTTATTGTGATTTACAGTCAAATTTATTCTTCAATACAGAAAAAAAAAAATTTTGCTTGTAATTACGAGATTAAATATTTCTTATCCTTCTCATTATAATCAGTTTTAAATGTGTCATTCCATGGCATCGATTTCCAATGTAATTATAAAAAATAAAATGAAATTCCATTGAATGTAACCAATTAGTTGATTCACAAAAAAAAAAAAAATAAAATACTTAATGAATAAACTGCGAAATATATTAGCTTATGTGTTGATGTTCGTAAAAATGAAACACATGCAGCAGATATATTCTGTTAAAGAAGCCTAAATCCGAAACAAATTGAAAATAATTTATCTCTAGCAAAAAAAGAACTAAAACCAACATATTTTCTTAAGATAAAAATATTTATTATTTTATTATCTGCATGACAATCTTTATAAGAACATGATAGTCATGAATTTTGAAGCTTATTAATGAAACAAAAAGTGTATTTTACAATATATAACAACACTCGTGTGAGAATAATTGGCACAGCAACATAGTAAGTTGATAGAAAAAAAATTATTTATCACTTAATCTACAGAAAAGTAAAATATTAATGTGCTTAATCATTATTCAGAATTCAATTTCCAAGCAATAAATATTACTATCTAAAA